TTTGGAGCCCGTGTGTGTGTGTGTGTGTGTGTGTGCGCGTGCGTGTATGTGCGCGTGTGCGTGTGTGTGCGCGTGCGTGCGTGTGTGAGCGCGTGCGTGTGTGTGCACGCACACGCACACATGCCCTCTTTACTCTTTACTAAGGATCAAACCCCGACTTTCACACTGAGCTATGTCCCCAGCTCTTTGAAATTTTTTTTTTTATTTTGACACATGGTCTTGCTAAGTTGCCCAGGGTGGGTTGAGACTCGCCACCCTCCTGTCTCACCCTCCCAGGGTGCCGGGAGGACACGGCAGTGGCTTTGGGCATTCTCTCTGCCATCTCTGCCACCAACCTCCCGCCCAATCTGAACAATTTTACCGCACTGCTTTCCTGGCTAAGTTTCTCCAGCTCCTTGTGTAATTCAGGAAGTACCTCTTCAGAACATTATAAAACACTCCTGATGTAATTTGGGGGTGTTCTTTGGCAAGGCCCCGCTTCACTCACATGAATATTATTTTAAAATATTGCCTCTGGACTCCTGGGTTTCAGTCTGAAATTTCTGTAGCTGCTTCAGCACTTCCTTCCCGGGGAGAGAGAGAGCCCGTGGCTTGGCTCCAGACTACACTGCATGTCTTCCCTGGAGTACCCAGATTTGTTTTGGTTTCCTACAACTGAGCTGTCACTCTCTGGAGCACCAAGTGCAGAACCAGCGGGGAGGGGGGAGCAGGAATGTGCCCCTGTGGCACCATCCGGGGCTGCAGAGCTTGGAAACCACCCAGAGGGGCAGCCTGGCGGGGAGTGACAGGCCACCCTGGGACTCCTGGTTTCACCCCACGGGGACAGAGTGACACTGGAAACCTGCACTTAGTTTCTCAGGGGCCGGGCAATTTGCTGTGCTGTCCCAGTGACTCACAGGATGATTTTCTAGGCTTTTAAACTGGGTCAACAGCTTTGTTTGTTCAGATTGCTCCCCTGGGAGGCCACTCCAGGAAAATGGGCTGAATGGGATGTTTGGCCAGATAATTCTTTTTACTGGCGTTCAGCCTGAGGAAATCTTACCAGCATTCAGAGCAGGAGCCGGGAGAACTGAAAGCTGCCCAGCATCTGGGCTGAATCAACAAACATCAGCGGTCCTGGTCGAGTGTTAACCACCTGCTTGCTGGCAGAGCTTTCTCCCTTGGAAAACGGAAGAGATGATTTGGAAGGCCTGGAAACCACAATGAACGCCGCTTGCAGCTAAGACAGACAACAAGTTTGGGCTACAAAAGTAGTCTGGATTCCAAGCTTCCTTGAACTCTGTGAGTCAAAAAATCAGAAAAAAAAATTCTTATTTTTTTACATGGTAGACTTAGCTTGGGTCAGTATTTCTCAAATAAAAGAATTCATTGACTTCAAAAGCATATCTGGAGGGCCTGGGAGATAGCTCAGCGGCATAAGCGCCTGCCTGGCAAGCGCAAGGTCCTGAGTTTAATTCCCAGCACCAAGCAAAACCAAACCAAACCAAACAACAACAGCAACAAAAACTTATCTGGAAACTTGCAGGCTCCAGTTTTTATAACTTTGAATGAAAAGCCTGCCAAAGCAGCGTTATTTATAATGGCCAGAAAGCGGAAACAAACCAAATGTCCATCAACTGGTGAATGGGCCAACACAGGAACACAAAGGGACATACTCAGCCATGAAAAGAGTCCCGCTACACTGCGGGTGAACCCTAAAGACATGGGATGTGGAGGAAGCTCGGCACCAAAAGCAGGCGTCGTAGGAGTATGCTTATATGAAACGTCCAGAACCGTTTAATCTAAAGAGACAGCAGTACGTTGAGTGGGGCCAGAGGAACAGGAGCAAGGACTGCTACTGGGTGTGGGCCTTGGGGGGAGGTGGGTGATGAACAGTGTCTGGAATTCTAAAGGCGCTGGTGACACAACCTTGTGAATATGCCGACACCAGTGACTTGTAGACTTCTAAAAGAATGCATTTCTTATCACCAAGAAAACAAATATTTAAGCCATGGGTGTGCTGAGCTGGCCACCCAGTCCGGGCCTGGTGGCCCATGCCTATAATCCTAGCACGTGGGAGGCTGAAGACGGGAGGATCACTGTAAGGCCAAGCTGCGTAGTGAAACTTTCTACCAAATACATTTTCTAAAAAAAGTTATAAAAAAACCAACCACTTATGAGGACACTTATGTTTACTAGAGATGAACATGAGTGGAAATTTATTTATTTTATGTATTTTGTACAGGGTCTACAGGGTCTCACTACACAGAATGGGCTCCTAATGATCCTTCGGTTATCAGCCTCCCCAGTGCTGGGATTACAGGTGCATGCCACCATGCCCAATCTCAATCATGGTCTCAGTACGCCCTGGGGGTGGGACCGGCAGGGCACGCCTGGGATCGAACCCTGGCCACTGTGCTCTGCCTAAGCAGGTGCTTTAGTCCACTGAGCTATCTGGCTGGCCCATGGGTAGAAATTTAAAAAATCATAAATCTCTATAGATAAATTCTAGACCCAAGAACTCATAAGTGGACTCACAAGGGTTCACAAACTTTATTTTGAGAACATGGGTCCCATGACCACTGGGATTTGTTACCCTTTTATATGCTATGCAGTGAAGTGAAAACTTTTTATACAGTCCTTTCCAAAGACAAAGCCTGGCCAGAGACAAGGTGGGATTTGAGTCCCTTGACTAACCCTTGGTAGCATAAGCATATTATTCCATCTATACTCCAGGTGCTTCATTAAGGATGTAATCTATGCAGAAAGAGATGCGTATGTGTGTCATGGGATGACAGGGGCGGGGAGAATATGAGGTAACGTGAGGATACACGGAAGGCCTCCTTCTTACACATGTATGATCTTCCAAAAGGGTCCATAGCAACGGAATTAAGATATATGCTGCTAATCCAAAACTGAGAGAGGAAGGCCATGGGGCATTACTGTGAGGGCAAGGAGATTTCTGGGCAAGAGTCAGTGAGAGTGAGTATAGGGTCATGCTTGGCGCTTTTTTAACTAGAAAGCAAATCTCTCCACTATTGCTGGAAGCATCTTTCATTTCTTGCTTTGAAAAAAAAATCAGAAATGAATCGTCATCTTGAGGTCGTTGTTCAAATCAGTTCAGTTCGTTAATATTTTATAAGGCCTATTCTTTATGGATTAGACTTAGGGTTCCTGGTTGGAAGAAACCATGGTGGCCGCTTCCCCATGGCAGCCCACAGTCCAGTGGAAGAGACTAGCATACTTAGAGTTATAGAAAGAAATTTTAAGAAACAGACTGATTGATTTTTTAATTTTATGTATTCGCTACAAGGTCTCACTAGGCAGCTTGGACTTATACTGATCCTCCTGTTTTCAGCCTCCACCACTATTACAGGCATGTGCCACCATGGCTGGACTGGGTGGCCGGCTCAGCGTCCTTGAGGGTAGGACCAGCACAGCATGTGGTACTGGGGATCCAATCCCAGTCGCTGTGCTTGTCTAAACAGGTACTTAATCAGCTGAGCTATCTCACCAGCCCTAAGAAACAGATTTTTTTTGTGTGTGTGTGTGGATTTAGTACAGGATCTATAGGGTCTCACTACACAGATCCAGACTCCTAGTGATCCTCCTATTATTCAGCCTTCCAAGTGCTGGGATTACAGGCGCGTATCACCAGTCCCAGTCTTAATCACAGTCTTAGTGCGCCCCAAGGGCGAGGCCAGCATAGCAGGCTGGGGATCAGACCATTGGTCCCATGTCTATACCTAAGCAGGCACTTTAATCCACTGAGCTATCTGGCTGGCCCAAGAAACAAATTAAAAAAATAAAGAAAAAAGTCTTAGGTTGAAAAGGACTTTGAAAATCACTAAATGCTCTAAAATGTATGATAATAATGTATTTTAGTTGTCCAATATGGGTCAACAGTTAGTCTGATTCTTGGGTGTTTCTCAAAAAAGACTAGCTTTGTAGAAGTGAGCATCGAGGCAGTTTCTAAATATCATTTCCTTGGATATTGGTTGGACTCATCGCCCATAAAGCTTTTTCATGTTGTGCCCACTAGGTGTCTTATTATTTTGCAAACAAAAAAAGCGTAATTTTTCCAGCCGTGTTGCCAGTTATCTGTAGTATGAGCATTTAACTCAACTAAAATCTCAGTCCATTCTGGAAACTGTTGTGTAAAAGGCCAGTTGCGATTCTCATTTGAGAAGAAACTGGAAAAGAAGATGTCTTTGTGGACCTCCTCTCCTTCGTATAATTCATGTACCTGCAACCTGTTCTCTTAAGGAAGCCAGGCCCCGCCAGAGGCTGTGGGAATCCTGCTACAAGATCAGTGCCAGCACCTTAAGGGCAGCAGCCCTGTATCCCTTCGGGCCCTGGTTTCCCAGAGTTGGCATTTAGCTGTGTCTGCATATGAGTGAACCTCCCAAACCCCACCACACTTCTTGATCCTCCATATGAGGTGTTCTTCTCTACACAAGGGGCCATTTTCGTCACGTTGACCAGTGGATAGAACAGAGGATGTGAAACCAACCCTAAGCCCATTCAGCCATTCAATACTTTACCAAAAGGCCAACAACCTGTGCTGGAGAAAAGATAGTCTCTTTAACAAGCGGTGCTGGGAAAAGTAGTTATCCATATGCCAAAGAATGAATCTAGACCTATATAATCTCACCTTGTAGTAAAATCAGATAAAAAAAGGATCAAAGACCTACATATAAAAACAGAAACACTGGGTCTGCTGGAAGAAAACATTGGTAAACTCTTGAAGACATGAGCATAGGCAAAGACTTCCCCAATTGCCAAGGTATACTCCAAAGGTCAACAATGGGATTATATCAAATTAAGAAGCTTCTGCACAGGAAAAGAAACAACCAATGGAA